TCACTTGTCATGCATCAGAGAGTTGGACAGTGACCAGGGAGGATAGAAGGAGAATGGATGCCTTTGAGCTGTGGTGCTGGAGAAGAGTATTGAGAATACCATGGACTGCTAGGAAAACAGACAGATTCATCCTGGAAAGGGTTAAACCGGGTGGCTCCTCGGAGGCAAGGATTCTGGGGCTTCGTCTGACATACCTTGGACATGTTTTAAGGAGGGAGAGGTCCTTGAAGAGGGACATCATGCTGGGCAGGGTGGAGGGACAGCACAGGAGGGGAAGACCCTCTATGAGGTGGATTGATTCAGTGACTGGGGTAATTGGGGTGGGAGTGTCAGAGACAGTGCGATTGGCACAGGACAGAACTGGGTTTAGGGCTGTTGTACACAGGGTCGCTATGAGTGGCAAGCAACACCAACAACAACCCTCTGGCTGTTCACTCCCTTTAGTGTAAAGAAAATCCAGATTGAGTAGGAATCTTAAAGGGCTGATGGGAAGGAGGGAGAGGCCTCTATCTCTAATCTTTAGGTAACCTGCTGTCGCTCAGGGCCACGTTCTCTTTTCTTCCCAGTAGTGTCGTTGACTGAGAGAGAGCTGATGTGGAATAGGAGTCCTCCAAAATGAAAACACGCCTCCTGCTTTTAGTCTTGTCAGTTGTGAAAGGAACTGACTGGGTTGCCTCTGGGGTGTTGTGTGTAGCTCTTTTCCAGGTTATGCTCCAGGAGGTCATCATTTGGATCTGGGCCTGGGGTTTTCAAGCATCTGCTCTTCACCATGTTGGCCAACGATATTCACAAACCGTCTTGAGCCTGTTCCTGTGTATTTGTACAGAGTCACAGCTGTGGATTCCAAACTGCCGTATAGTGGACCCTCCGGCTGGCTTTCAGAGACAGAAAACCACAAGGGAGGAGACCAGGCATCTTTCTCCTGTGAATCACGTGCTGGATTCAGAACACCTGCCTTTGTGTCAGCACCGAACCTCCCTTATGACACCACAGAGTTCCCTAAGTTTTATGCTGCTGTCGTGAGGTGCTGTCGAGTCAAGCGTGACTCATAGCAACCCTGTGAACAAAAGATCCAAAGCCTGTTCTATCCTGCATTCTCCTCACACTTTACACAAGAGCCCGTTGTAGCTGTCAGTGTACAGTCCACCTGGTTGAGGGTCTTCCTCTCCTACGCCGACCCTCCACCCTTCCCAGAATCATACCCTTCCCCAAGGTCTAGCACCTCCTAGCAACATGCACAAAGTATGAGTGGGGAAGCCTCAGCATTCTTGCCTCCAAAGAGCACTCTGGCTGTACCCTCTCTCAGACACATCTCTTCTTTTCCTGGCCATCCATTTGACGTTCAATGCTCTTCTAGTCACATGATAATCGTTAATAGGTTGTTAATACCTTAGGGAACTGACCCATAGCTGACCCTCCAGCAGGTTTTCAGAGTCAGTTATCTGCATGGGGAGGTGATAGCCCCTCCCTCTCCTGCAGAGCAGCTGGTGGCCTCGAACAGCATACCTTAAGGATTGCAGCACAGCTTCTTACCCCTAGGCCACCAGAGCTTCTCTCATTGTTATACGGTATCATAACCCTAGATTTCTGCACTAAAGCTTTTATGTGTGAAACTTCAGGTCCCATGAAAAATTACAACATTGTCTTTAGGGTGACTTGATTTTCTTGAGTAAAATGAATTCCTAATAAGGCATGCATTTTTTTCCTTATTGGAGGGATAACTGAATAGAAAGGACTGATTTTTTTTCCTACAAAAAACAAGGAACATGTGTTTCCATAGGCTGTTGTCGACCTGGACAAATGAAGACACGGACACTGAGAAAGAGGGGGAGAAGAGAGTGAAGGCGGGGGGCGAACAGCTTGAACACGGCAGCACTGAGCTGAGAGTCTCTCCTGCCTGTATGGAAAATTCCCGGTTGATATAAATCGCAGAGAAAATTCTTCACCAGTTGGGGACTATGTATTTCTCTGCTGACATCCTCATGCTTATCTTAGGAATGATGGGTTACCAACACAGTCTGAGAGTAGCAGAGGTGCCACCAGGTCTGCCTGAAGTGCCTGTCTCCTGGGAGTTGCCTCAGGAGAACACCACCTAATCCTTTGTGATCTGTCACAAGAGGAATTCTCGATTGTGTCTGTGCCTCCTTCA